TCCGCGCAGCGCCGGAAGTCCCGCCCCCACTGCGGTGCTCTGCGAGTGAGGCTCGGCCGGAAACGTGGGATCCGAGCGTGGCGTTCCGCCTGCAGGCCCTTCCAGGGCTTCCATTCCCGAGTTCCTTCTCCGCCCAGGCCGTGGTTTGAAAAATGCAGGGAGGAAATGGTAGAACAGGTCGGCACCAATGCTCGGCATGAAAATCCCGTTAGTCCTTTGGCGTCTGCAGATCCCAGCGGACAGTGTTTAAACGTGGATAGTTACTAGGGCAAGCCATTTTCTTGAGAATGGAATGACAGGAGGAAGGCCCCAGGGCCCCATTGCTGACAGCTGACAGCTGAGGGGTCATGGCCACTGGCGCCAAGAGCAGGCAAGGGTGAGCCCCGAGGCGGGCAGGCGGGCAGCCGGGCTCTGTGGGCGGCAGAGTTACAGGGAAGCAGTTTCTTCTTGCATCTCCCAGGAGGGCTGGGTAGGCCCAGCATCCGGGCACCTGCCTTGGGCAGGCTCAGGAGTGCACACTCAGTTGACTTGTGGCCATGGCCCTGCTGATGTCACTGGATTTGGGGGGCCTGGCAGTCTGGTACAAAGTTAGGGCGGAAGTCCAGTTCCTGTCCAGCAAGGGGCTCTGGGTTTCTGTATGTGGCAGCCCACCCACAAAGAGAAGGATGCATTGGCGACAAGTTTTCTGCTGCTTCTCCGTTAAATCTCTTAGCTGCTTTGTAGCTCCTGGTCTTTAACCTCCAAGTAAATCCAGGTCTGTGGGTGGACCCGCCATGGCGAAGACAATGCCAGCCCAGGCCCCCTGCCCACAGCGCTGTAATTCCGTGGATTTCAGAGATGCCATAGTCATGTGACGCGGGGCCTGCGGGGCCCAGGAAGGCGGCCGTCCTGCGGCAGCGGGGGAGCTCCCACCGCTGGACGGAAAGTGCTGCCCCAGAGCTAAGTGCTCCTCCTGCCCTGTGCGCGCGGGCAGGTTAGGGCCCAGGAGCCAGGACAGCCAGGGGGGAGCAGGTGGGAAGGGGGGTGCTTTACCTAACACTGGGGGGGGGGGCTCTCCCACCTGCTTGAAGGAATTAAAGTCCAATGACTTGAACCGCAGGGACACTGCAGAGCAGGCAGAACCCCTGGACCCGGACAGCCTGGGGAGGGAGGGCGGAGGAGGGGGCCGGGAGCACAGCTCAGCCCCCGGTGCAGAGGACGGCTGGAGCCCCATTCGGCCCCTCTCCCACCAAACCTAAGCCCCCAGGAGACAGGGTGCATGAGCTTTGCACCCCACTGTATCCAGCAGAAACACAGCCTCCCCATACGAGTCCCTATAAATACTTGTCCAGTGAGTTCAGTCCCAGGCCTCGGTCTTCTCCTGTGAACAGAGAGGCCAGGCGTCTGGTGACCCTCGAGGCACTAACTGCGTCCTGTTCCCTCTGCCCCCCCACCCCCGGAGTAGAGGGCGGGGAGGAGAGCTGTGGGCCCACGGGTGCTCTCAGCTTGGCGGCCCCGCGTGCCCCTCCGGCGGGCCTGACCCGGGACAGGTCCAGTTGGGAACGCACACCTCGGGCATCTTCCCAGCGTCCCCTCCGGGTACCGCCACGCCGTCCCGCTCCCTTCATGGTCCTACTCCTGGGACCACAGCCGTCGTCTTCCCGATGGGGGCTCACATCCCAGCGCCCTCCGTCAGCCCTGGGGGACCCAGGCTCCCAAGTACAGCGTTTCTGACGGAAATTTCCTCTCCAACAGGTGTCTACACAGATCCACCTTTCAGGCCAGCTTCAGAGAAATATTCCACAGGGAACACGCTGAGCAGCGGCCCTGAGCTGCCAGGGCTTCCCGCTGTCGCTCCCAGGCGGCTCCTGCTGGAACACAGCCAGGGGCCCCCCACAGCCCCCTCCATGCTGCACCCCGCCCAGCCGCAGCCTCCTCAGGCCTGCAGCCAGCTCAGCCGAGTCCCTGGCGTCCACTGAAAGCGCAGACCGCTCCGCCTGCCCCAGACCCCGGGCTACATTTAAACCCATTTTTATTCATTTTTTTTTATTACATTCCTGTGACTGTTAATAATTGGAGTTTATACCTTTTGATCACCTTCACCCATCTCACCACCGCACCGCCGCCTCCGGCAGCCAGCAGTCGGCTCTGCCAGTCCCTTTAAGGTTCCAGTGCCAGTGAGGCCCCTTGGGGCTTCTCAGCCTGACCTCACCCCGCGTCGCGCCCTCGGCCCCCATCGGCAGCCACAGTACACTTCGAAGTTTGGACAATATAAATCTCACATCGCACGCGGATCAGAATGATAAAAAGTCATGTACATTTGAAACCAAGATATGCTTTAATATATTTTCACTTATTTTACAATTTAACTTAAACCTAGAATACTTAACTTTTATACAAACTTAGTTCTTAAAATAGTCATTTGCTATTTTACATAAAAAAGATTCATAAAGTTCATGTGGACTTCCGAGGGCACCGCGCAGGGAGTGGCGGCAGTGACCGCAGGTGGCCAACGCCCCGCCCCATAGCCCCCACCCCCAGGGACTTCCCTGAGGTTTTTAAACTTTTCCAATATAATTTCTCCTAAAACGGACGTCTGGGGGCTGGAGCCACGCGGGGACGGTGTGCTCACAGGGAGATGGAGGTGAAGGCGGCTCTGCCCTCAGAACCGGAGGAGCGGCGAGTCCACGTTCTCCTTGTTGGCCTCGGGGCTCAGCTGGATCAGCGGCGAGCACAGGTCTATGAGCTGCGAGGGACGGGGGTGAGCAGGCGCCCTGCCGCGGCCTCCCAGCCGTGCC